CTCCTCATAACTTGATTTGCTATGTTTGCGACAGCTGTTCCTCATGGCGTATCTCGTTGATCTTTGCTACGATACACGTGTTGGTCATTTTAAACCCAGCAGTGTGCTATGAAAACAGAATAGTTAACCTGGAAAATGTGTGTGGCTTTTTAGTGCTTGTCCCAGTTGATGATGCGTTTATGTCATCATGTTGAGTATTTTACACATCTATTAGAAAAAAATATTTTCCTTAAAGCCTATTTTGATCATTTATTTTTCACTTACTTCCTATAATAAGATCAAAACCGCTGCATCTTGAAGCAATTAGATTTTTTTTCTTTCTCCTAACCACAATTACTTTTCTTTTTTATATTTCCATCATGCAGGCATTCAACACAGGGGAACAGTTGGCTATTATTAATGCTGGCTAAAAACATGTCTCTTAAAGAAAAAACATGCAAAAAAATAATTTTCTATTATTTTTTAGAGGAGAACCTGAGAAATGTGATAGGAATACATTTGATGGTGAAGAATAGAAATGATTAGATGCAGATTTGAAAGTGACTTCAAATTTAAAGGGGTAAATACAATGTTCCTAGGTCTGTGAGTAATAGTTATTGTTTTTTCTTAAATGATCAACATTAGCATTTCTTGTATTCAAGAAAGGAAATGGCGTAGATTGCTTTTTTTTATTTCACAATTGAATTAAGTTGTGAAAAACACAATTATACCATCTCTACAGCTTATAAACACCCTTTATCCTTCAGGATTCCAGATTCATGAATTCCTGCCCATTATGCTTAATGCAGTAAGTTCAAGAAAGAAAAATGGTTTGTTTATATTTATCTTGGTTGCCATTTTTTAAATGGTTACTGAGAAGGGGTGTCGTTTCCATGCCACTGACATTCTACTTTGTCCTTGCATATTTAGCTCTACTTTATTTTACACGAGAGAAGATCCTGGGGTCTAAATGTTAGAGGAATCAGAAACTGGTGACTGAAGCTGTGCGGAGGAGGAACTGTGTAGCGACGTGGTCACATTCAGTCTCTGCCAGAGACATGTGATCTCACCAAAGACTCACTCAGTCCGACAACAATCACTGATTATTTTGTCTGCCAGTATTATGAGAGTTTAGCCACAGTTACCAGGGATTACACTTGATCTCCCCCCACCCCACCCCCATACCTCTGCTTTTATCTGATGTTCACAAATGGCTGAACTTAACCTTTGTCAGAACTCGCATCATTTATATCAGTAGGGGTTCGAAGATTCTGCAGCCTAAGCTGTAAACCTCGGTGCCATAGTGTTTGAATCACTTCTGCTTGAGTTTCTGTTGTCGCTCTCCACTGTGGAAAGTGGGGGTGCTCTCTGTGGCGGTTGGATTATTTACAGGCCTTTTGTGAGCGTACCCCTGCTGTAGAGAGGTGTCTGTGTCAGGGCCTTGGCAGCTCCCTGTGGAAACATTTAACTGAAGGCTGGACCCCTTTCGAGGTTTGCTGCTCAAAGGTTTCAGAGCCATCCATATAAGCTCTGGTTGTAATAGACATACTCAGAAAATGGGTTTTCTTGCCTTTCGGTTGCAGCTATTAATAAACTGGGAATGTGTGATTGCTATTTATTTACCGGTAAAAGCTTTTTGAAACTGTCTGCATGATGCATTATATATTAGTCTTTGGGTAAAGATGACTTTGCGGTGTATTTAAACACTTTTATTTTATCTTTGTTGCTTGTTTGAGCACATAAATTCAAACCGTACTGCTTGAAACACACGCCCCCTGTTGTGTTTAGTGAGAAAAGGGTCTTTCAAGTTTGTTTGCCAAATGGGGATGTGAGACTTTATATTGGTGGGTCTGGCTGTTTTAGAGGAAATCTACAGGGAACAGTGCAATCAAAAAAGAAATAAATAAAATAAATAGGCATGGAGATATAGCTGTAGTGTGCAGTGAGGCTCTCTTCCTTTTTCTACCTAAATTTTTTTCCTTTTTCTTCCTTAAAATCCTTGTGTGCAAACCTCCATTTCGTAAGACTGTGTCTGTTTTCCACAACTACGGTTCGGCAAGCCCTAGGTCTCCTTTCCTCATACCTGCAGTTTAGTCCAGCCAATCGGATTCAAAGATTGGAACAGGCTCACGGGCATGTTTGAATACGAACAAGGCTGTGAGATGTTTAGAATTCCCTCCATGGTGTAGCGCTGTGGGCCATACGGAGAGTTCCCAGGGTTTTTTTGAGCTGAGAGCAAAGGGTGGGGTTTGAGGAAAAAGCTGGGCACATTGGACAGCATGGAGCACTGAGCTCAATCGTGGCACAGGATCAATACTTTGAGCTCCAGGATTTAAGCTTGAATGAGGGTAGGAGTTGGTCCCTTGCAGAAACATTTGAAACTATGAACTTCATCTCATTTTATTACATTAAACCACAAACTTTACTGTTGTAAATGTACCAAAGTGGAGCTGGGCCACCTTTTAAATCCAAAGGGCAAGTTTGACCTAATTTCTTGCTAGATTAAATTTGTTGCAAAACCCATATGCTATATTTTTCAAAAGAAATGAAAGATTTAATTTTTTCTATGTTTCAGGTATACCCACATTAGTATGTTTATTCTTTTTAAGCCAAGAGGAAAAAAATAGAAACTTGCTACCAGCTTTTTTTTTTTTTTACCTTTATTTTGAAGCTTAACGACATTAAAAACAAAAGAACCATGCAAATAGAAAATACCACAATGTTCCCACTTAAGTAGTCGAGCTTTAGCATCTCTACACAACAGGCAGTGGAAGTAGGCTCCACTGGCCAATCAGATGTTTCCCATGCAGAGTTTAAATTCGTGGCCTTAAAGCTGGTGAAGGAAAAATAAAATCCCATCATCTCATTTGTCCTTCGAGTTCACAAGTGTGTAGATTTCAAGTTTCTGAAAGGTTTCAGAGAAATGTTTGCTCTCGCAAGGCTTGCTGTTGCAGATTAGTCTTAGAAAGTCATGGTTTGACTCAAAAGAACTGTTCTCAGACTACAGAGCGTCTCTTTCATCATGCATGAACAAGCAACAATGATTGCCTCACACGTCTCTCAAGTTTGAAACTATCACAAAGCTTCACCACAGACAAAAATACACGTTTTGCCGAGTTTTAAAACTGGAAGGAAGGAAAAAGAATTTAAGAAAACCTACTTTTGCCCCAAAATACTCTAATTAGCACCAGTGCAACTGTATCAAATTCACTCTGTATGCTGCTTTGGAAAATACAATGTGGCTCCTATTTAGTATTCACTGAGTCAACTTCCCTTGTGGTGGCCTTTGATTGTGGGTCTGTGTGTGTGTCTCTGTAACCATGTGAACATGCTCATCATGAGGGAAAAGGTGTTGCCGTGTTACCGTACCATTGCAGTAATCTGGGCCCCGCTGTGAAGCCCGGTACAGTAGCTCATCTATGCGCTGATAGATTGTTGAGAAATACCCGCTCTGTTAGATGAAAAACGATCTAGTCGTGCTTTGATGGCTCAGGGTCTGAACCTGCTGCTGCACAAGCCTCCCCCTAACTCATTTATCACTACTGGCCTTCTGTGTTTGCCTACCTGCAGAGATGCATGCAGATAAAGCTGGGTGAAAGGTCGGGGGGATGAGTAAAGCGTAACTGGAGGGCAGGAGCAAGAGTTGCAGATGTTGGACTATATCTCTCCTCTTCAGTTTGAGCTTCTGTGTGAAACCAGTGGTTAGCCTTGTAGTCCGCCTTGATGTTGTCATGGTTTGTTGTTGTTGAAATAAATTTGCTGCTAGAGATGCATGTTTAACTGGAAGTACTCTCCACTTTAGATTCAGTTGCAGCACTTCCATATTTGGGCTGAAAGTCAGCCCAGTTCAGAGATGATCTCTAATGAAGCTGAAGCTTTTTAATGGATGGAGATGTGTGGAGAGGTGGATCTTTAACAGTGGCTCTCAGAAGTCTGCACACTAAGTATAAAAAAGCAGACCATGATCTAAATTTTTCAAACATAATTTGTCTTTAATCTTGTAATATTAAACTGACCAATAGATTATTTAGAAAGATAAACATGAAATCCAAATAGGTGTTATAACCTGGTTGATTAAGTGTGCACACTTAATCAGGAGTCTATTAGTGTCTCAGTTAAAATCCCTTTTATGCCTCACCTAGGTTTTCCAAAACCTCTAAGTGGAGAGAACGACTCTAGTCGCCTGCGCTCCTGAGCTGACCACACAGATTATCTGTCAAAGGTGTCTGGCTAGGCCTTATCAAAACTTACATTTTTCACTCAAATAGTTTTGTTGTTGTTGCTTTTGATGACTTTATGGATTTAGACTGCTGCTGAAAAGTGAGGCCTCTTTCTGGTTTTAGGGCATTTAGAAGTCTTGGTTATTTCATGCTGATGCCACCACCGTTTGGCAGTGTGGGTATGGTCTTTCTTTCATGTTGCTCGTTGTGGTTTTTGTGTCAAACTGACCTTTTCAAATGGTAACCCAAAGACCAAATTGGGTTTTATTACATCAGTACATATTCTTCAATCGTGTTAGAAGTTTTACCCAGCCATGAATCTTTATTTGAAATAAAACCGTCTTGTTATTCCTACTCTATTAGTCCAGACACATGGAGACTACAGGAGATAGATTTTTCATGTAAAATACATGCGTTGCTGAACTTCCTGCAGCTTATTTAGCGCTGCTTCTGGCCTCCTCCCTGTGAAGTTTCTGTCCTGTGTTTTTTTTTTTTTAAGCAGTTGTGGAGAACATCCTGTTTTAATATTGTCAGTGTTGCTCCATGTTGTTTTTAAATAATTGATATCTATAGTATGGTGTCAAATAAATACACGGCTGACTTTTTATGTGCCTTGTTCCTGTTCAATTCCTCTGTACAGCAAAATCACTTTAATACTTTGTGACACCACCTTAAATAAGAAAATGTCAGGAAATGGAAACGCATTCATCCTTTTCTGCTAATCCCAAATAGAAAATTCTGCCACTTGACAATGCATTTTGCTAAATTAGTTTTTCTCTCCTTGCCTCTCTCCTCTTCCAGGCCTTTGGTAACGCTAAGACGGCCCACAACAACAACTCCAGTCGGTTTGGTAAATTCATCCAGGTTAATTATCTGGAGAGCGGAGTAGTGCGAGGGTGAGTAGTCAACAACATTTAAAGTAAGCTCCTCTCTTTGGCTTCCTCTAGCTTGCAGCCAAATGTCTTCCTCCTTCCTTTTTTTTATGGGCGGTCATGTGGTTCTCATTGTGCATGTGGGATTGAAACTTGGAGGTTCTTCCTTTTTGTCTGCACTCCAATTCTGGTTTAGAAGCTGCATCAAAGTATGGTCAGATGGGTCACTTCCTTATTTCCTCATTAGGACAGGAGAGAACAGCCACCTTAAATTAGCAGAGAGCTTTCAGTGCCATTTTTCAGATTCACATCATTGTTAACATTGCATGTAGAAACAGCTGCTCGGGGCTGAAATAAGTGGGCTTCCCCACCTTTGTTACCCCTCTATGGCACCTGGTGCCCTCCTGCTTTTTTAGATTGTTTACCCTCAGAAAGGTCTTCAGCTCAGCCTGCAGAGTCCGTTTTAAAAGGCTGAGACTTTTTTTTAGCTCAGACGGAGGCTTGTGAGACGATGAAATGCACATTATGGTCATTTCAAAGACAGCAGCTTTGGCTAACAGCTGCTGTCTGTGCTTGTGTGACTCTTTAAATCTTTAGAGACGGGGAGCTATATTAGAATAGACCCACCGGGCCGTCAACCCTTCTCACAGTAGGCTTTACAAAGGCTGGCTTTCTGAATACCCATCTCCGCTATGGCAGCCGCTCAATAGAGAAGATTTAGAAAGGCAGGCTTCCCTCTACACACTCAGCGTTTTTATGCTTATTCTGGGTTTCTGTATAAGAAATCAGAGGCCATATCTCCCTTTATCATGTCACACTAGCTGTTTTAGTCCTTTTTCTACTCTCTTTTCTCTGCCTGCCTTTGGGACTTTTTTATTTTATTTAAAGTGCTTAACAAAAGCCTTTTTTCCCCCTCTAAAATTTTCAAAATTTTTCTTATTTTTAGGATTTTTATGACCAGTGTTGGTGGCTTTGTTCGATGTGGGGGACAGGGGCAGATCTTTTTATAGAGAACATTAGTGAACAAACAGCTTGCTAAAAGCTATGACTAGTCAGGGATGAATGAATGTAGAAGGTTAAAACAAGACTTCACCATCCACCTAAACTGCAGAGCCAGACAATGTAAACATTAATCAGTAAAAAGATTCTTGTTTAACTCTGGAGGAGCTGCAGAGATCCTCAGCTCAGCTCTTGATCTGTATTTTTATAGCACCAATTGTGATTGAAAAATAGAGCTACCACACACTGTGAACCATGGTGGTGGGGGACCTAAATGTAAATGCGTTTCACAGTATATAGTTCTTTGAAAACCACTTCACAATCATGCACTTCTTGGTGTTGGTGTGTCGCAAAAAAGATGCATCAACGTTTGTGTTTTATGGCGAAAAAGTTTGTAAACGTTTTACCATGGAAATATGTTGAAGTGTTGAAGCTGCTTACATTACATTTTACATTAAGGTTCAGGATTTTCCTTCAGGTTCTATTTATACAGCAAGTTTTAGGACCTTTATAATCTATTTAAATTAATAATAAAAATTTTCATTGAAATGTCTTTTTTTATGCATTAAATGTTCTGGATAAGTGACTTTCGACATCTTATGCTCTAACTGGCTTCAGATGTATTTATATGTGCGACTTAATCTGAATTCCTATCTGGGAATGCTTTCTCAAAGGTTTGAAATGTTATCTCTGTAATTTTAACTTGTCATACTCGACGCTGAACGGAATCCTGCTGTTTTGTCTGGAGTCGAGAAACTTGCAACACATCACACGCCAACATAGCAGTGTTTATAAACTATCAGTATGTGAAGATTTTTTCGTGTTGTCTGTATTTAAGGTTGCATTTTTGGTAGAAGGACACGACCAAGTTTCTCACAGTAGGGCTCTATTCTTGGTGTGTCACGAGGCCTGGCGTCAGTGTTGTTTTTACTTGGCTATAGAGAAAACAAGTTAGACATATAAAATCTGATTTAGGCTTTATGGCCTCGGGTCGGTCGGTTTGTTAAATACCACCACTTTTAAATCTACAACCCTCTTGACTGCATGCGTGTGGAATTTTAATGTTTTGGTGTATGCTTCTTTATAGTTTATAATGAGCTTCGGAGTGCATGTAGCGGTTTCTTTGTGCTCTTATTGTTCAAATCATCTTTATTATTACGAGCTGACTTTGACTTTGACACACAGCAAACTAAAATGTCTTCATTCTTCAGTTAGTAATTCTCCTTTTTTATATTGCCTCTTCCTCACACTTTCTCACAGGGCCGTGGTGGAGAAGTACCTCCTGGAAAAGTCTCGTCTGGTCTCAAGAGAAAAGAACGAGAGGTAAGGAATGAACTGGGGGTGGTATCGACCCTTCACCCTTAATGCTGAATGTTCATCAGGCCGTCTGGATAAACATGAGATAGGTTTTTTTTTTTTTATTCTTTCCCACTCAGCAGACCCTGATGGTTAAATATGAAGTTCCGATGGAGTCTAGTCATCTGCTGGAACACTTACACACCCACACTCCTTTTCTCCAGCATCCACCAACTTAACATATTTGACATACAGAAGACTTGCAAGAGAAAAGCCTTGAAGTAAATGTATTAGTTATTGCAGTAGCGTCACCTCTCACCAGAAAATGAGAAAATGTTCTAGCTTATTCACCAAAAACTCCCAAAAAACAAAAGAATGTTATTTCAAAGAAACTGAAGGTTAAGCTGTAGATTTCCCTAAAATATGATGCATTTATCCTCTGGATAAATTGACTCAAATTTAAAGTGTGATTTATTCATTTATTTTTAAGTACGTGGATGTTTCTAC